TCCACTCATGTTGGAGTCACGTAATTTTTGTAATTTGAAAGTTGTTTTGAATTAAAAATAATTGATGGATCACATACAAAAGTAGTACAATTAAATTATCTATTCGGTCGGTTTGACGGACCGGCAACATTGGGACATTTTTTACGCATATGACCTATTTCTCTGCAAATCTCACACCTTCTCTTCTCTTTTTCTCTGTCGTCCATCTCAGTTCTAATTCTACTACTTTTTGGACGCCCCTTTTTATTTCTTCTCATGGAATCGTCGTGGCACAGAGTAAAACCTTCATATTTTGGCCAGTTTTCCTCGTGCGGTAGTCCCAGGAAGCTTTCCTTGTAGACCTTGAATACGTTAATAACTGTGAAGACCTCTGGAATGTGAATTGTGTAGTCTTGTCATATGCTAGCACATGCCGCTATCACGTGGGAGCAAGGCAAGTGAAATGCCTGAAGTTTACCGCAGTCACAAAAACGATTCCGCAAGTCAACCCTGAAAGTACCCGTTAGACGACCATCGTTGTAATTAATCTTTTCCTGTACCATGAAATAGAATCTTTCGCAATCAAATTGCATGACGTTGTGTGTGTTTGCCTTGGCCACCTCATCAGCCATTCCCTTGTTACAACCATCTGTGAAAACTTTGCCTGAAGATAGCATTTTGGTCCATTTGTATCCTCGTTTACCAAAGAGTGAACCCAGTCGGTAGTATGTAGACTGGACCAATGCAGTGATTGGAAGGTTTCTGGTTGCCTTTAGTACAGAGTTTATGGCCTCTGCCAAATTAGATGTCATGTGTCCCCATCGTTGCCCTCCGTCAAATGCTCTAGCACACTTCTCCCTAGGAATGTTGTCTATCCAATTTGAAGCCTACATGTTTGTTCTTTTAATTTCTCCGCGATAGTAATTAAATCTAGCCTCTGTCAATGCGTAACCTGTAACATAACTTCTGTGAAAAAAATGATAACAGTGTGGTACAAAACTTTAGATAAGTGAGATGTATTTGGTTACCCATGTTAACAAGTTTTCTACATAGATCTTTGTCCTTAATCTCGCGCATGAAGTTCTGAGCAATGTGTCTTATGCAGTAGACATGTGAAGATGGTGGATGTTGCCATCCGTTTTCGGGATTGTTGTACGCACTCTTTATCGACTCATGTCTATCAGATATTAGACACAAATTAGGCTGTGGTGTCACGTGTAATCTCAGGTTCCTCAGAAAAAAGCTCCATGCTTCCTTTGTTTCACCTTCGACCATTGCGAATGCTATTGGGAAAATATTTGCGTTGCCATCCTGTGCCACCGCCATCAATAGAGTTCCTCTGTACTTTCCATACAACCAAGTTCCGTCTACTTGCACAATAGGCTTACAGTAGGCGAAGTCACGTATACACGGACGAAATGCCCAAAACAGGCGATGAAATATTCGTTTTCTAGAGACTTGGGAACCATCACTGGATATTGCAGGTAGGGTTTGCAAATCTATAATGGTTCCTGGAAGGAAGGTTTTCATTACCAGTAACCACTGCGGTAGGTCATTGTAATATGTTTCCCAATTGCCATAAAGTGACTCTACCGCCTTGCACTTAACGATCCATGCTTTCCTGTAAGATATAATGTACCCGTATTTTTCAAGAATATGGGCAATGATCACCCTTACCTTAAGTGAGGCGGCGTTGTTGACAAGTTCTCTGATACTATGGCTAACCATTTCTGAACTAAGCTTCCTATGGTCTTGTGCCATAGACGTCGCAGTGCATGTGTGAGACCCAGACAACTTACCGATCACCCATTTCAAGTTCCTTTTTCTCAAGGAAGCTCTGCATTTGAAGCTGCAGTCTTGTTTCTTACACTTAATGACGTATCGATCATTGTCAGACTAATAGACCCAATAGTCCACACTGTGTGTAATGTGCCAATGCTGCAGAGCGAGGATGCAAGCTTCCTTGTTTTTGAACTCCATCCCAATCTCTATTTCGTCACCTATATGGTTTTGAATAGCACTTCCAAACACAGAGGTTGTATCGTCGTGTTCGAAACATATATTTTGCATGTGCGCGGGCAGGTTGTACAAACTTATGGGTTGCGCACGGATCGGTTGCATAGACGCGACAACGATATCTTCATTGTCTTCATCGCCGCTGTCACCAAAAATATCTTGCATCCTGACCTCCTGACTATCGTCATCACTTGCCTCTCCAACCTCCTCATTTGGTATGAAAGGTAAGTTGTTTTATGTTGGTTCGTCGTCGGATGTTTGGCTCATCCCGTACAAGTGTGACTGTGTCTCTTGCGTGGGAAATGTTTCGGGATTGTCTAGTAGTCGGACATACAACTCAATTGTAGTTAACTGACCAAACATCATGTGGCACCGAAACATTGCCTGCACGTCTTCGTCGTTCCGGATCGGCGTCATTATGTAAAAAATGGCACAGTCGGATTCATTAAGTGTTGGATGGCGATAAATTATTTCCTCAACGCTTCGCCCCAATTTTTTTTTCCATTCTATCTTTAAAATGAAAAAAATCAGAACTGACATGAATTTTAAAGGCGTATGTATCTGTGTTGCTGAACGAGAATCCAACAGGGCTACTTGCTGAAACAACACCGTTAATATGGCATGTGACAATTATGTTTCTCTGGGACATTTTGGAGTATGAAGTAGAAATTCTTGGTAGTAAATATTGATGTGTACAATATATGTTTTTGCTAGTCAATATAAACTGTAGACTATTGTTGTGTATAAATAACTTTGATACACATATTTTTGGGAACCAACACTATATAAGACGAGAATGGGAAGAAGTGAGAATATTGTGAATAGAAGCTCGTCCAATCAAATGACTAGCTTGTGACTTCAAATGTGTGTGCGTCCAAAGAATGGATGAGCTCGTGCCAAAATGCGCGCGCACGCGTGTGTGTGTGTTTGTGCGTCCTATGAGAGGACGAGCTTGTGTTTCCATTTAGGAACTCATCCAATGAAAGGACGAGCTTGTGGTCTTTGTATGGCATGCAACGAACATGGTATAGGCACTCTAATCCATCTACTACTTTGCATGCATGCAAGCTACTATTCTGCCATGCAGGAGTCTTATCATACTTTTGAATTTAATCTTATTATCTCTAACTTTGAATTTACCATACACTACTATAAATTCAATTTTCTACACAAGTTTTTTACACACATTACTTTCTTCCAAGATTTTCACAAAAGATTTTCACACAAATTTTATTACCTCTTGCAATCATTACACTGAATTAACATATGGCGTTGTTGTGGATGGGCAATGAACATCGTGGAGCATATGAAAATATTCAAGCTAGTGTATGTTTTTTCTCTATTAGAATGCATTCAAAATTAATGTCTATTGTTGTGTAGTTAAATATTATTTCGTAGCAAAAATTGTGATTACATTTTCTTGGTTTAATATTGTTGCAGATTAATGCCCCAAGGTTTAGAGTGCATTCACATTCCTCTATTCAAGCGAGTCAGAGAATAACGGCTTATCTTGAAATAACAGGTTTTGGACATATCACAAAAATAAGTAGTTTAAAAGTCGACTCAAGTTTAGTTATGTCTCTGTTGGAGAAGTGGAGACCGGAAACACACACTTTTCACTTACCAACAGGTGAATGCACAATAACGCTTGAGGATACTTATATGTTACTTGGTCTACGAGTTGATGGAAAAGCTATCAATGGTCCCACCGATGTAACAAACTTTATTTATATGGAAAACTTGGGGGTGGAACCTACATAAGACGATAAAATTAAATGTTCTGTTAGGATCACCTGGTTAGAGAGTTTATACGAAGATTTAAAAAATAAAACTGTCCCAACACAAGAAGAAGTTCTGTTGGAGGCCAAATTTTATATTTTACTTGTAATCGCAACAATTTTGTTTCCTGACAAAAGTCAGAATCTATTACATTCTTCTTGGATCCCTTTCGTAGGGGATCTTGTCGCTTGTGGTACCTATAGTTGGGGTTCTGCATGCCTTGCAAAATTGTACAGAGAAATATGCAAGGCAGCAGTCAAAGATGTTAGGAGCATGGGTGGTTGTGTTCTTCTACTGACTTCTTGGGCATTCACACGTATACCATTGTTCGCTCCTGTTACCACAGTGGAACCGTCGTTTCCATATGCACAAAGGTATTTTTGTATTAACACACCCATTTATGTATATCTATTTGTTATTCAACTATGCCTAACAATATTATATTTTTTTTTGTTTATGCAAGGTGGACGCAAAGAGGAATGAATTACCGTGTAAATCCTCGTTTTCATCTTCAAGGATATCGAAACGCATTGGACCATATGCAAGAACGAGATGTAAGTTTGAGACCATGTGAAAACAATTGTCGGTTCTACTCGTTAATTGTATTCTAAATTTTCTTTTTTATGTGGCAGTTTATATGGAGGCCATACATTCAATATCCGGTGCCCAGTCTTGAAGATCACCAAATCTGGAGTGCAACAACTTACCTTATTTGTTTTTATACCGTTGAAATGCATCAAACGGATAGGGTAAGACTCCAGTTTGGATTAGACCAACAAATCCCTCCCCCGCCAAGGTGTCTAAGGGAACACCACGCAATGACTATGCGAAAAGCTCAAAAAGTTAATTGGCGAGAGTTAAACAAGGAGGAGGTGAGAGAATGGAGACACAGAAGACATGTGATTTTGCAGGGGGAAGCGGCATTACGTGAACGCAAGCCAAGCCAAGAGTATTTAGCTTGGTTTCGTGCCATTCCTTACGTGCATGTTTCTCCAGAACAATTTTTGACCGACCCACGCACGCAAGCATCATCATCAACACAACCGACTGCCGCATCAGTGCATCAGGATGTGCCCCCAACCTACACATCTCAATTTGGGGGGCACGCATCCTCGTCAGCTCAATATACCTACCAACAACACACACCCAACAATCCATTCCCTCAATAAAACTATAACTACCACTACAACCAACAATATCAGCCCCAACCCTACCTCCGACCATCCATGCAGTTCACCCCAGTCCCACCCCCCAACTTTAACCAGACCGCCCCACGTTTCCAATATCAAACCTTCAACACTACCTTCTCTCAACCCACCTCGACCTTCACGCCTAATGACGTCTACTACCCAACCCTTCAACAAACCCAACCTAAAACCTACCCGCAACCACCGCCACCACCACACTCATTCCAGAATTTTTTGCTTACAGACGAGCAACTGACGCACATGCCAAATTTTAACATTGATGATCTTCTTGATGAGCAACCAAGACCCTCTTCACGACAAACAAACCCCCCTACAGCACATCACAACGAAGACATGTCTTCCGACTCATCTCAATCACCTAGAAATGAGCGTTTGGGCAAGGGATATAAAGAGCGAAGGAGCACTAGGTGTGGAACTGGGGGTCATCTCCGATAAAATGTATTTTTGTTTAATAAATTTTATTGTTGTAATTAAATCTTAAATAGTTAAAATTATTTGCATTTCTTATAATCTACTTTTATAATGTAATTATTATTAATTAGTATTTTATAATTAACATTTTTAAAAATTTAACTTTAAATTTTTAAAATTATTAACACTAACTATTTAAAATAATAATTAAAAAATTATAATTTATAATTAAAATTAAATTATAAATTTATAATGATCATAAAATTGTAATTATAAAATTAATTAGTAATCATTATTAACTATTCAACATAAAAAAATAGTTAAATTAATTAATATTCATTATTAATTAATATTTATATTAATTAGTATTCATATAAAATTAATTAGTATTCACAATTACCTATTAACATTGCAATAAAAAAAAATTAATTAGTATTTAAATTATAAAAAAAAATTTAGTATTTATTATTAATTATTTAAATAATTAAAATAAAATAAAAATAAAAAAAACGAAAACCAAGCACATGCTCGTCCAATCAATGGACGAGCTCATGAAGCCCATTTCAAACAACACACGCTCGCCAATTGAAAGGACGAACATGCACCCCCCCATTTTTCTTCCTTCACTAGCTCGCCCTTTGATTGGGCGAACTTCTTCAAAACTAGGGCACTCTGGTAAATATTTTTCAATGTAGGGCATTATGGTATTTACTATTTCAATATGGGGCAGAACAATGAAAAAACCGTCTTTGGGAGTATTCAATGGTGTGAGATAACGTTGATTGATTGAAAAACAGAAGACCAAAGGGCCATACCTACTCTTGTGCCTTGTTCCGATGCTCCAATTGATTAAACAAACACCTTTTAAAAACCATTCTAATCTTTTAACAAATCCATGATTAAATAACCAAAACATTAAAAGTTCATTACCTTTTAAAACCAAATTATATCATTAATGTCAAAGTATTTAATGAAAAATGTCACATTATTTAATGAAAAGTGTATTATTAATGTAAGTAATGATTGCACTACTCTATAGTAAGTGATTTAAATTATATTGAAAATTCAACCATATTCTATGGAGAATTTCACTCGATCAATTTTGATTTTAAGATTGTTTCAATTCACGTAATGACAATGAGAATAATTCTGTAGAGAACTCTCTGCCCACAAACTGTGAAAATTATATTATTTACTTGCAACTACAAACTGTGAATTACAAAATATGATGAGGTGAGATGAGATGTTTACAAAATAAGGGTTTCTCCATATTTATAGATTTAGGTTAACTTGCACCCCAAGGCAAAACGCAAACTATAAAAGTCCAAAAATATCTAATCTAATCTTTCTAAATCAAATATGATATTCCTAAATCAAATCTAATCTTTCTAAAACAATTAATTACATATTTAATACACCACCTAATTCATTGTGTATAAACTATCTACATTCATCATAGACCTTAGCTTCTTGAGCACTTCGACTGACACTCCCTTTGTCATGATGTATGCAATCTGATTCTCAGTTCTGCAGTGTTCGAAGTTTACCTTTCCTTCTGTTACCTGCTCTCGAAGATAATGGAACCTCATTTCGATGTGCTTACTTCGACCGTGTGCTATTGGATTCTTCTCCAAGTTGATAGCTGACATGCTGTTAACCTTCATGGTAATTGCTCCATGACTCTTCATTGTGATCTATTCGACCAGGTTCACCATCCAGGTTGCTTGACATGCACAAAGAGAAGCAGCTGTGCATTCTGCTTCGCATGATGACAATGCCACTACTGACTCCTTTCTCGAACTTCAAAACTGGTACACCACCAAACATAAACACATAGCCATCTGTGGACTTTCTATCCTTAGCATCACTACACCAACTAGAGTCGATGTATCCCACTAACTTGCATCTTTTCCTTCATCAGCTGCATAAAACAAAATGCCATAGTCGAGAGTCCCTTTCAGATATCTCAGTATCCTCTTCGTTATTGCTAGGTGTGATACCTTTGGCTTCTGCATGAATCTACTTACCATACCCACACCGTATACTAAGTCAGGTATTGTGTGACAAAGGTATCGAAGTGACCAATAAGTCTTTTATATTGGGTTGGGTCGACATCATCTTCATCTGAATCTTTCGACAGTTGAAATCTGGTCTCAGCTAGAGTCGAAGTTAGATTATAATCTTGCATCTCAAATCTCTTGAGTATCATCTTTGATGCATCATCAAACCTCTACTACTCTTGTAGAATTTGATGCCAAGGAATTATGAGAGATTTCCCAAGTCTGACATTTCAAACTCCTCACTCAGGTTATATTTGTAGCCTTCGGTCTCCTTCTTCCAACTTCCTGTTATCAACATGTCATCGACATAGAGGCATAATATAAGTAGTTCACTACTGCTTCTTCTTACATACACTCCATGCTCAGTCGTACATTTCACAAATTCCTTCTCCCTTAAGAAAATGTCGATTTTTTTATTCCAAGCTCTTGGAGCTTGCTTAAGTCCATACATGGCTTTATGCAGCTTGTACATCTTTCTTTCTTTGCCTTGTTTCACAAACCCAGCTGGTTGTGCAACATAAACTTCTTCGTCTAAGAGGCCATTAAGGAATACACATTTCACGTCCATCTGGCATGTGTGCCAATTGTTCATATTTGCTAGACCAACAACCAATTTGATTGTTTCGATCCTAGTAACAAGTGTCAAAACTTCGTCAAAGTCGATTCCTTCCTTCTGAAGAAATCCTTTCGCCACAAGTCTCGCCTTGTGTCGAGTTACTTCTTCTTTAGGATTCATCTTCACCTTGTAAACCCACTTCACATCAATTGCCTTCTTTCCTTGAGGAAAATCGACAAGTGGCCAGATGTTGTTGACTTTGATGGAGTCTAACTCCTCATTCATTGCTTTCACCCACTTCGAATCTTTCAATGCCTCAGCTGCATTGACTGGTTCGACATTTGCGTATAAAGCATAGTGTACCAGCTCACCTTCTTCATCGACCACATCATCTGATGTAATCACACATTCTTGCAACCTTGCAGGCATGTGTCTTGTTCGTCGAGGTCTGCTTGGGCCAGCTTCATCTTTGACTTGTTCTTGTCGAACATCACTTTCAACTTCAGTGGTTGGTTCTTCACAAGAGATTCTCATTGAATCCTTCTTGACATTCTCATTCCAATCCCATTCTTTAACCTCATTTATGATCACGTCCATGTTGATCACTACCTACTTATTCACTGGGTCGAACAACTTGTAACCTCCAGTCGGATAATATCCTATCAAGATCATATCATTCGACTTATCATCAAGCTTCCTTCTCAACTGATCCGGCACATGTCTATGTGCTATATATCCAAACACCTTCAAGTGACTGAGGCTAGGCTTAACACCCGACCAACATTCTTCTGGTGTGATTCCTTCAAGCTTCTTCGTCGGACATTTGTTTAATATGTATGTTGCTGTCGAAACTGCTTCTCCCTATAATTCTTTGGGTAGATGCTTTCCATTCAACATACTTCTCACCATGCTCATGATGGTTTTGTTCTTTCTTTATGCAATTCCATTTTGCTGTAGAGTGTAGGGTGGCACCACCTCATGCATAATCCCTTCTTTTTTCGATAATGCATCAAACTCTTTTGACACATCCTCTCCACCACCATCAGTCCTCCGAATTTTTAGCTTTTGACCACTCTATCTTTCGACCATAGATTTGAATATGGTGAATACCTCGATCACATCACTTTTCTTCTTGATGAGGTAAGTCCATAACTTTCGACTGTAATCATCTATGAATGTGACAAAGTATATGTTGTCTGCAATCGAATCCACCTGGGATGGACCACATACATCAGAGTATATGACTTTTAGAATTTCCTTCGAATTCCTTCTTGCATCCTTGCTGAAGCTATTCTTCTGTTGTTTCAACTGAACACACTCTTCACATGCTTCACTTGGAATGTCAATTTCAGGTGATCCTGAAGCCATATTTCTCATCTTTAGCTTTCTGATGTCATTGAAGTTGAGATGGCCTAGTCGAAAATGCCATAACCATTCATCTCTGTTGGCTGCAGTTGCTAGGCACTTGTGCTCTATCACATTGAGTTCAATCTTGAAGGTCTTATTCTGAGACATTGGAGCCTTCAAGATCAACCTACCACCTGCGTCGAGAACTCTCAACATCTTGTCTTTGATCGACACCTTGTATTTCTTTTCTACTAGCTATTCTATACTGAGCAAATTACTCTTCATGCTTGGTATGTACAACACATTAAATTTGTTTGACCTCTTGCCATCTTTCCTCATAATCAAAACATCGACAATACCTTCAGTGGCTAGAGTATTGTCATTTGTAAATTTCACCATGTTCTTCGACGAAGGCTTCATGTTGATAAACTAATCTTTCCTTCCATTCATTTGTGATGAGCATCATGAGTCTAAGTACCACTGATCCTGGAACCTCTCTTCGTCTCTTGTTGTGACTATTAGTAACATCTCTTCTTCTTCATGCTTCGCCATCTTTACATCAGTTTCTTGATTCTTCTTCTTTTCTCGACATTCACTAAAATAATGACCATACTTCTGACAATTGAAACACTGAATGTGACTTTTGTCAGGATTTCGTCCACCATCTCTTCCTCTACCTGCAACACCACCTCTTTGGTTGCCTTGATTCCAGGGTTTTCTTTGATTCGGCCAGTTTCCTTCCTGCTGATTTCAACCAGTCGAATTGTTGTAGCCTCATTTACCTTTGTTGTCATTCCAGCTTTCTTTGCCTTTCCTTTCCTTTTCTGATTGCGCTTGCAAAGCCATATCACTCTTTGACTTTTCTGCAAATCTCTCAATCATCCTTTGTTTATGAGACTCAAGCATCCCTTGAAGCTCTTCCTTTGTCAATGTTGACAAGTCTTTCGACTCTTCTATGGCTACTACCACTTGGTCAAACTTTGGAGACAACGAACTCAAGATCTTTGCAACAATTGATCTTGATGTTAACACTTTTCCACATACCTTGATTTGATTCATCA